CCCCCACAATACCTTTATTTATTTATTTTTATGTGGTGCTGAGGATTGAACCCAGTGCCTCATACGGGTACCCACTATACACTGAGCCCCAGCCCCAGCCTGACACTTTCTGAATATCATCAGATAGCCAAACTGATTTAGATTTTTCCTAATTGCCTCAGAAATATGTTTTTGTCAGTTTTTTTAATCTGGATTCAAGGCCAGACATTTAATTAGACTGATGTATTTTCTAAGGTAATAATTAATTTTTACTGTGTGATTAGAAGCCACATCAGTTGGTTATTTTATGAAGGAAAATATAGATGAAGTAAGGAACACATATGTCTGAGCAAAGACAGGGATTGAGTTAAAGTATCAAAAAATTTTAAAATTTGGGCCTTTCTAGAATTCTCATTTTATTGTTTTATATCATAAAGATAATTTAGATAAGAGTCTAATCTTGAGTCCAATAGCCAGGTAAAACTATGTACCCAGTAGATCTGATTGAGCATTTCTTATCAGAATCTAATGGCAGACAAATTATATGTAGCTTACCTAGCATTTGTTTTTCTCTCTCTTCTTTAGCTGGGATAAGAAAATATCAAATTAAATAGAAAATCCAAAGCCCTCAATAATATCCTTGCTTGCTCTGTGGGGACCATGCCTGACCTCTTAGGCTCTCATTCACCTTTTGATATATCAACCCTTGAATATAATGTGTTTACCTGCTGTCCTCTTTGTGTATCCAGCGTTGATGATTATCATCAGATTTCTTCTCCACCAAAACCACTTCGCTACCTGAATGGAGGTTGGAGCTTTGTAACCCCAAAACAAGCTGAGGAGCAGCATGGCTTATAATTTGCCCATCTCTGTATTCAAACTGCTGACGGGAAACCTTCTGCAATTTGGCCTGCTTTGGAGAATGGCTGAGATAAAGAAAACTCCCATCAGTGTAGGAAAATGTCCCAAGCATTTGATGCACCAGAGATGGTAAGTTGCACTGGTGAGAACCCCACTATGAGTCGTGTTAACTGTACCATGGTGCACATCCCACAGGACAAAAGCAACGTTAGCACTGCACTTCTAAGCAGATGCAAAAAAACAGAGTTTGTTTTGTAACAGAAATAAATATTTGTCCAAGGAAACACATAAGAAATTCATCAGCAAAGAGAAAAAAGTTCAGTTGAAGAAGCAATTTAGTTAAAGAGGAAAAAGTGAAAATCAGATAAAAGGTAGGAGAAGAAGGAGCATGTAGAATGAAAACAGTGAAACAAAGGAGTTCTGTTCAAATTATGATCCTTTCCATTCACTGTCTATAGTCTCCATGCCTTTCAGTTTTCCCTGACAATTCACAGGATATCATAACGGAAAATAATGATATATTAATAAATCAGTCTAAAGGGGTCTCTTAAGGATCTCAAAGCATTAAGCAGACTTGTTAAACATGTTAAATATCAAAATGCTGGCAATTACATTAAACTAAAGAAATCTATGAAGCCCTTACTACGTGCATGGTTAAGTACTGCTAGAAGTGCCCAAGCTGTTGCATATTCTAGTAACTGCTTATAATGTTAAAAAGCAAATGTCTAAGGATTATGGAATAATAAAAAGTACTATTGTTTTCTGTAATTTCATTGAGTGGTAACCAGAAAAAAAATTTAAAAAGAAGAAACTGCATTTTACTACACACTTATTCACAAACTCACCCACTCACTCATTCAACAAATATATAGGCCCTATGTTGGAGGCAAAGTTGGATGTTAAGTAGAAAAGACATCATGATGACCAAGAAATATACTATACTGCACAAAATGAATTTAAGGGGAAAGAAACTTCCCACAAACACTCATGAGTTGTGTCATAAAAAATGTAAGACAAAAATGTGCATGTTGGTAGAAAGAGAGGCTAACAGCAGTGAAATCACTCAGGAATGTGCTTGCCTCAAAGTGAGAGAACCCAAGACTGGGAAGAATCCTCTAACAAGAATCCTTTGCAACTTTTTACCTGTGTTTCTTTTGTGGTTCTACATTTTCAAAGACTTCTTTCATTTTCTTTGGAAGACTGACATCCTCATCAAAGTCCTGCGAAGTATTCTGCCAGGCATACCTGAGAAGCGTCTGACAAGTTTCCATTCGGAGGTGGGCTCTTGCATGTGAATCTCTATCAAGGTTTAAAAGTAAAAACAAGTCCAAGAATTCTGATTTGTGATCAGAGAATTTTCTTTGGGGAGTAGTTAATCATAGCCTGATCCACTATAGTTGATCAACCATAGGATATCGGGGGAATTTATAAATCACATTTCCATCCTAATGCTAGAAATTTGCATCTTACTAATTTATAATTTAAATCTTTTTTAATATAAGGCAATAAATAAAATCCTTCATTCACATAATAAACAACATTCATCTTTGTTATATTTATGAAGAAAACGTGGGACCATGTGTATATTTCAAAATGTAGGAAGATAAGACTACTCAGCAGTTTGAGAAATTCATAATGGGACATCTCCTGCCTGCCCTGTAAGTGGGTCATAATTCTGTCTGGAACACTGGAGTCTAGATTTCTGGGTTCTATGAAGTTTATTCAATAGACTGTGTTAAGAAATTTTAATTAAATTTTTCTCCCAAAAGAAAAAATCTAGAAAGACTCAAATTGCATCTGTACATATGTGCCAGCTTTTAGTAGAGACTAATACACTGAAACATTAGAATAAATAGTCAGACTTTGAATAATTGAGCCAAACTTCCAACTTAAGACAACCATATGAATGGGAGCAGTAGCCACTGAACAGATCCATATATATTAAGTTCCAGGCCAATGTTGAGAGCACATTTGCTCTGAGCAGGATCATATCAATATGAGGGCTACTCAGCTGAAAGCAGGGAAAACACACAGACAAAGCAGAAAACATATTTCATCCATCTAAATATGCACATGTGTAAATAAAGTTCTCTGGGGCAGACTGTGATTACCAAGGTGCTGGTGATAATTTGATGTAACTACAAGCATTATCAAGTTACCAAAATCTTCAGGGACAATTCCTGTGCTAGCAGAGCTGACTGTACACTTTTTGAATGTAACAGGAACACTGCATGTAAATATGAAACTGGAGGGTAATAATGACTGCCCGCTTCATTCAGAACTGCAGTGCAAGCTTCCCAAAGCAAAATCTTCCTAACAGTTGAACAACAACAGTGCCATCTTGCGTTAGAAAGGAAAAACACAGCTTTCCCATCAACTCCATTTCTTGGAGCAAGGGGAAAAAGTCATTCTTAGTTTTAACAAAGTTAGCAAGGTGCAGACAAGATTCTTCCTCTACATCCAGATATTTAATTTTCTTATTTGGAATTCATATACAAGATCTTGAGCTTGAAAGTGAAGTATAGTCAAATCAATTTAGGAACAGTCATTTTTAAATTCATCTTTTTAAAATTAATTAATTCATTTGTTCATTCATTCATAAAGCTAGCCATTTATTCTTCATTCCTTTAACCAATATTTGTTGAATATTTATAATATTCAAGCACGTAATTCTAAGAGTTGGAGATATAGTGATGAACACAATAGCCAAGTTCTCGAGTTCATGGTGCTTATATTCAAGTGGAAAAAAGAGAAACAATAGATAAATGCTTAAGTAAACAAAGTAAGTGCCATAAGTGGATAAAGTAAAATATTGCAAAGGAAATTCCCTGTTGTTTTAAGTTGAGACCTATACAATGGAAAGTCTCTAGCTACGTACTAATCTAGAGAGAAAGCACTGTAAGCAGAGAAAAAGAACAAATGGAAAGGTTTTGAATCAAGAATGAGTCTGTCCATTTGTGTAAGGAAAGACAAAAGGTGTTACAGACAGGAAGTAAGTGATTAGAAAGGTAGTACCAGATGAGGAGGGCAAGGCCTATTCCTGTAATTTGGTGAAGAATTGAGACTATTCCCCCAAGCTCTGTTCCAAAAGTTTTTTTCCCCACCCCACAAAGCATCAATGCAGAGGTTAGTGTTCCCAGAGTTTCTTTTCCATTGCACTTCTTGTTATTTTTACCAGACATTGTACACAAACCAACAATAAAAATGTTCCTTGTAGAATCATGTTCTCTCCTCTCACCTAATAGATAGACCTCCTTAAATCATCCCAATTTTCAAATATGCAAAAAATCTCCAAACAAACATATTTAAGGAATTCTGGGGGAAACCTCACAATGACTTACTAAAGTAAGTTAAAAGAACTAGTGAAAGTTAGCCTGGAAGAAAGATAATCCAGTGAACTGATGAATAAGAACATAAAGGCTGTCAAACAGAAGATGAAAGAGCATAGACCATGAAAGAGATGAAGCCATGGGATGGAGGTGACCTAAATAGTTGATTATTTAAACAGTAGAATAGTGAGTTTCCTGCTGCTGTGTGTGTTCAAGAAGAGGCTGTAGCAAAACAGTCTGCTTGGAATGATCAGGAGAGGCCAACATTGTGTTCTGAATGGATTCAATCACTTTTCACCGCAAAGACTCCATGTCCTGATGAAATCTTGATTCTGAACATTGAAAATCTTTTAGTCAAAGATGTTTCTTTCTTAATTTTTTTCTAGTGCAGACTAATAACTCAGAGGCTAATAACTTAAGTTCCCTTTTGTACTTGCCACAGGGAACTGAAATTATTATGTGTTATCTGCACAAAGAGGGCACCCCCGTGGTTCACTGTGATCTCTAGAAACTAAATGGCATTGCCCAGTAGGGCCAGTCTAGAAAGAACTAAGCAACCTGCCTCCCAGGTTGAACAATTCTGACAATGGTGGCCACAAAAATGGTTCCAGTCACCCTCTCAGCTGAGAGGAGGGTTTTTTTTAGGAGTACTGAGGATTTAGGGTACTGAGAAGGATGAATGCCAAGACACACTGGTATGTCAGCCATGATCCCAGTCTTCCCCATTGGATATAATTTTTATGTACCAGTTTGCATTGTTCAGGGCCTTTGCAATGGTTAATAACAGGTCTTCTACCTCATTTTCTATTCAGAGGATGGATTCTTTAGAAGAAAAATGAAAGGGAATGTTCGGGAAGTCTGTGGTCAATTCCCTAACTATTGTGGAAGATGCTCTATAGGACAAATTATTCTTTGAAAAATGCCTTCTGGTGCTTTTGTTAATGTCATGATAGGAACAAATGAATCACTCATCAAAATCAGGAAATGTTGTTCCTAAAGTGGAAGTAATACTCTTAAAATTCATAGGAATAGTCTTAAAAACAGTTTGTAACAGTGATAATTAATTTTCACAATTGCTGTAATGGTAATTGATGAAGGATTTTTGGTTTTATAATTTGGACTCAGACATTCCTTTGTTCATTTGTTAAATGATGATTAAAGTCTATTACTATGCTCTTCACAGAACACATGTGACAGAATCCTTTCCTTCAATGAATTCCCTAGTTGGTGGGGGAGGGTGACCAACAGGGTAGGAACCGATAAGCCCATTGCTACAGATAATCATTGCTGTGATTGATCTCATTGATGAAGAGTCATTCTACAGAGAGGCAAGTAAATGCACTTTGGGTGAAAAGAAATTAACACATGGCTCAGAGACCTGCAACAGAACATAAACGGAATGTGCCACATTCGGGCGACACCTTTTTGCTATGCAGCTAGAGCTTGGCGTTCATGTTGCAGGAAGAAAAGTGAAGGAAGTATTCATGGGTCGCAAAATATGGTCAATAACAGGCATGGGTGAAGATAGGAAGAGCTTTGGATTCCAGATCAATTTTTTTTTTGTCTATCTGCAATAGGTAGCCATTGAAAAACTATGAAAAATATTATGTATTAGAAAGATAATTGACCACAGATTGCATGTAAGGGTGAGTTGGAAGGAGACATTATAGAGATAGAGGTCAATCAGAAAGATGTTTCAATGAGTTCAATGATAAATGTATATTAACATGAATCTAACTTGAACATATGTTAGGGAAGAAACTTAATTGTTCCTAAAGTCAATGTTGATGGATGTAAAACAAGAATTCCTTAAATAAATGTCCATAATGCTAAAATTCTAGTCCTTAAAATATAGTAACATTATAACAATATTACTGAAAGTAGATCATTCTGATGGTTGAACAATGAAATTCTCGTTCCATGCTTTTGTCAGAAAACTAATTACATTCAAGCTCTTCACCAGATCTCACTTTCACTAACTTGGCATGGGTTCCCTGCATGGGCTCTGTGCTTTTATCAGGCTAATGAACTGAGTTCAAAACAGCAGCCTGGTAGTTTTTCTGGCTACACTGATTACTTACAAGATTTCTCTGGAAGCATCAGCTCTTGTTGAAGCATCAGTTGGCATTTGCTTTTCCTCTGTTTCTTCAACTTGCTTCTCTTCTCCAAAAATTGCTATGGGTTTTTGCACAGCAAGCTTGCCTCCAGCCACAATGTCGCTTTGGACTTCTAAAACAAGAGCTGAGCAGAAATGCACAAATTGCAAGGACATATTAGTTATGATCACAGAGCACCAGGAATTTGAAAACACATACTAACATGCAAATACAAAAAATTCCAGCCATTTGTTCTAATCATAGGTTGCTTTTAAACTATGAATTTGAATTTCATTTAATTTAATGTTGGTAGATTTTTCCCTCTCGAGATATTATTATTCAAAAGTACCTAAAATAGGTCTTTCAAAAATGTGTTAATTATTCTATATTCTAATTCCGAAAATGGGCTACAGTATTTAGATACATGTCTCTAGATCATTCTCTGCATTTCAAACTCATCAGTGAAAATCCCAATGCCTTGAAAGACACATGCAAAGCTTTACTGCCAGTTTTTGATACATATGATAGGGATAATGTCTTCAATTATATTATTTTCTTATCCCTTTTTTCTTTCTGTATATAAAGTAAGGATCGCAGGGAAATTAGAGATGCTGCATTAGGGAAGCAAAAGTTCAAAGATAGTTTTGGACATTCAAACAGCATACGGCCACAAGACAATAGCCGTGTAAGTCAGGATGATATAACCATGATTTGTGATTTTTCCAAAAGCCTTTTGCTCCTATTTAGCATGTAAAGGATTTAATCTGGAGAAAAAAACAAACAAACAAACAAACAAAAAAAAACACCACTTAATGGGCCTGAGAGAATTAAAGGGAAAAGACAGAAAAAACCATAAAATCACAGGGAATCCTGCCTCTCCCTATAGGCTTCACTTTGAGTACCTTAGTTGTCTGTGGAAACATTGAGTACACTGCCCATTGTTCAGTACACTGTGACAGGGTCACCTCTTGAGCTATTCTTATCACTCCAATCTGAGGCACAGTCACATGAACCTGGATCTAGTTTCTGGGAGGTGTACCTAAGACATAGTCTTTGCTGAGAGTCATCCTGGGGAGCTTTCCAGAAGTAGTCACCAAACAGGAATGAGATGTCTCTGTAACAGTTTGTAGACATGACTACTGAGTCACTGCAAGGCTTCAGAGGGCCAGAATGAACAAAGGGAAGGAGGTACCACCCACCCAAAGCATCTCTGGGCCAAAACAATGGAACCCAAGTTTCCCCAGCCATAGACTTCAGCGGGGAGCAAGACAATCTACATGCCAAGTTCTTTCCTGTCATCCTAGAGAGGAACTAAAGTGAGGATATGGAGACTGAGAAACCTGAAAGCCCTCCCTAAAGAGACTAATTAAATCAATTGATGGATCAACATTTACACCTGAGTGGACATTTAATTTTTTTCTTGATGGAAATGTATGAGGCTCAGATCTGTTAAAGACATATAAAGAGATCATGTGCTTTTTGAGATACAAATTATAGTATGAAAAAATATGCAACCATGTTAAATATAAAAATTAGTCTAAAGAGCTAACTAGCAAGATGAACAGGTGAAATATAATCTGTGCAAAATTTTTATTTTAATATAAAACAATATCAAACATTTTATTTTGGCAGAATATCAAAAGATAAAATAATTTCATAGTTTAGGGATGTACTTGCCTAGCATGTACAAGGCCATGGATTTGATCCTCAGCTCCAACAAAAGAAAATAACAATAAGAGAAAGAAGAGGAATTCCAATGCTTACTTTCTTCTTTACGTGTGCTGCAGAAGGTTTGAATTTTGGAAATGTCAGATGCTAGGTTCCTGAGGAAGATTTGCTTCTTTTGCTGAGCAATAGACAGGTCAGGATTGATCCAATGTTCTCCACATGAAACATATACCTGTCAAAAAAAAAAAAAAGAATCGATGATTCTGTACATAATGGATCATAGTACCAGTATTTGTAATAGCCCAAACTGGAAACAATCACAGAAATCAAAATACCATATAATAGTTGAGTGGTCAAAAAAATGGTGGTATCATGGAATACTATTTAGTATTTAAAAAGTATAAACTGTCAACAAAAACAATTTTGATAGGTTTCAAGAATTTTATATAGGGTGAGAAAAGTACTTCACACTATCTCTGCAACTTCTGTGGGTCTACAATAATTTAAATATTAAAATGTTTTACATACAATTTGTTAAGAACAGAGGAAAAGTAAAAAGTGAAAGGTGGGCACCATTAAGGGTTGGCACACTGGGGCTACAGCATAAATCTGGCCTGCTGCTTGTTGTTGTAAATAGAGTTTTATTGGAATTCTGCTATGCCCATTCATTATAGGTTGTCCATGGCTTCTTTCATGCTACAGCAGCAGAAGTGATATTTCCGTAGAGACCACATGGCCCACAAAGTCTAAGATTTTTACTTTTTGGCCCTTGGCAGAAAATTTCTTACAATTTCTGGTATAAGTGAATTTATAATATAAAAACCAAAATGTTAATATGGATATTTCTGGATAGAGAGATTATGGATGA